AGGAGCGGGTTGGGAGAATTAAGGACGGGCCTTTGGAGCTGTGGCTCCATCCAGCCTCAGCCCTCCGGGAGTCCCCCAGGGTCCCCGGACTTTCATTCGGCTGAATGTTGTTCTCTCTGAGGAAGGAGAATGAAGTGGAGAACTGAGCTGGATCAGGCAAGAGGGGAGGTGCTTCTGCCCTTTTGTTGCTGCTTTTTAAGAAAGTGGCCTGGAGTCCTCTTTCACGTTTTGTACCTTACAGTGTCCAACTTTGTCTTGTCCTGTGCTGACTGCAAGGAGGGGAGGCTGAGACGGGAGTTGCTGAGTTTGGGGCTGCTTGGGTCCGGAGCTGGGGAGTGGTGCAGGGTGCGCAGGGAGATGTGACACAGAACACGCAGGACAGGATGAATGGGCGAGGAGCTGAGCTGGGGCCAAGCACTGGGGCCGGGCAGAGGCAGGAGTGAGTAACCCGGAAAGGGCTGTGCTGCTTCCAAGCCCTGACAGCCAGCTCAGTGTCAGTGCCATGTAATTTCTGTTTATTCATTTTGCTTTAAAAACTGTCTAAAGGAGGTTGTGTGTCCCCAACAACATAAACCTTCCCTACAGCTGAAAAGCTCTACTCTGGGAAAGAAACCAACCACTGGGATCATGAGCGGCCTCATCTACGGTCACTTAGGTCCGTTCGTGTGTACTGTACTCCATGGGATGTTTCTCTGTGTTATAAAAGCTCTGGTAACACATTAAAATATGCTTCTAGTTGGGATGTAGATTATAGGTTCCTCTCACAGTTGAGCTAAAATCTCCTGATTTTTCTCTCCTTTGCCAGTATTTTGGCCCCTGCTTTGAAGCAAGCCCACAGACTGTGCAGACAGGGACCCCCTCGCACAGAGAACAGTGGTCTCACTGTGGCTCAGGCACTGGTCCCTGCTGGTGTCTGTGAAGATGAGCCTGAATTTAAGCTCACCTACTGAAGGCATTGTATTGGAGTGTTAGGATTTATGCTAATTCTACCAGGACTGTAAGTCCCAAGGCTGTGAGCGTCAGGAACAATGAGGGCACTTGATGGGATCATTTGGACACTTAGAAATGCTCCGAGTCTCCCTTCAGGCCACAGGGAAAACTGGGAAGGGCAAGGAACAGAGCCCTGTTCTCCCAGCTTGCACTCACTCTCCTCACTGGTGGAAAGCAGAGGAGGAAAGAAAGGGGAATGAACAATAAAAGAAATTAAATACCAACGGCAAATTGTTAGTTTTCCAGCACTTCCCAGTCTTTCTTGAACCTGGGCACTGCTAAACATTGTGTATTTATCGGGTACCCTACCTCTTACCTGGTCTGCACACTCGCTTAGAGCCCTGCAGCTGCTCCAGCAGTTGAGTGGAAAAGTCACCCTTGATGTCAGCCATTGATAGGAGTGCATCTCCTATATGCACTCCAGCATCTGTCAACAGAGAGGAGTCGGGAGTATTTGTCCATTTTATATTCTGAGGATGCCAGTTTAGTTGTTTCTGGTTGAGAAGAGCAGGAACTAAAGAGAGAGGTCTACCTACAGACAGACCATAACATCCAAAGGTATACAGTGTCCTTGATTTGATTTTGGAGTGGGATCTAGCTCATTTCTCCAGGGAGCTTGTGAATGACCAGACCACAGATAAAAATGAATGGGGTTGCACCCCTTGTACTCACAGGTGATAGGTACGGGACCCACAAAGGTGTTTTTAGACAGGGACTCCGCTGACAACTGGCTCTTCTCTCCCTCCTGGGGTTCAAGTTGCTGATGCTTGGGTCCTAGTGGTGGAGGAGTAGAGGAGCTCTTCTCAAGAGAAGAGCAGGGACAGAGACCGTGGAGACTGTTTTCAGGCAAAAGGGCTGCTTTGGTAGCAGATGAGGTTGTTCAGGAGATTACATGAGTTCTTATAGCCACTGTCAGGCACGTGTGAGCAATTGTTCCCTGGTTGTTTATCTGCGGCTGTGGGAGGTGACTCTTAGTCTTGGAAAGGTGGAATTTCCTGCTCTGTGTATTTTTAATCCCTTAGATGCTCCTGTGAGACTGGAAATGTTCCTAGAAGACAGGGGCATTAAGACCTTTCCCTTCCAACTGTACCATTTTGTGAAACAAGCAAGTTGCTAGTGTTTATTTTCCTATTCAGGACCAGTTTATCAATAAATCTGAGAGACTTGTTATTGTGTTTATAAACTTCTCAGTGGCTATCAACTCTCATGATGTGTTTGCACAACACCTGGCACAGCTTAGCTTTGATCTCAGCTGCAATATTAATGTGCAGATACCATTATTCAGCATTTAATACATTTGTAATTTCCCTCCCAGCTTTCAGAAACAATATTTCAAAATTTATGCAGTGCTGCTTTTCTGGGAGAAAATTACTTAGAGGAATTTCTGAAAATTAAATGAAATAGTCCTTGTCGGTTAAGACCCAGATTTTGATCTTGATGTATCTTCTTTATACTATAAGACTGTATGCATGTACAGTAACTTGTAAATATATTACTGTAAAAGTTAGATGTCTTTAACAACACTTTATTTTTGGTTTCTTTCTTGGCTCACAAACCTATGGGATCCTTTACCAAGTGTTTAAGTAGACTGTCAACTGACTCTTAAATCAGTAGCCAAGTTACAGCTCAGCTACCAGGTATAGGATTAATGCAGGAATTACTGCGTAAAATTTGCAGGCTAGGGTCATGAAGGTAATCAGAATAGTCACTTCTGAGTTTTTAAATAATTGCTTATAATCTATGAAATAACTCAAGATTTTTCACAGTAGAAATGAGCTGGGAACTAGAACTTTGTTGAGGGTCAGTGTAATAAATGTCTTCTGTTTTGGATGGCAGCAGAATCAGCTGTAATTTTCATCATTTGTGAACTATGCTGTTTAGCATAAATTGAGGACTGGGAGAAGGGAAAGATTATCACCACCACCGCCTAGTGTGGATTAAGTCATTTGTCCAAAGTCATGCAGTAAGTAAATTAAAATAACATGTCCCACAGGTACAGATCAGTGGTTTAAATTCATTCTTGCTATCTGCTAATCTGTAAATATTCATAATAGCCAAAATTTAAAAAATAAAAGAGTAAAAGAGAAAGACAGTCATTGTCTTAGCAGCATGCTGTCCTGATGCTCTTGTTTCCATTAGACAGAGTATTAATTTTAAGAAGGTCTATACCTTAGGAGGGAGAGGTTGGAACCAGATCCGTTTGTGCCCCTTGAACATATTTTTCGTGCGGAACGGGCTTTGAATAAGGATTGTAAAATTATTGCTTAAAAATCAGGAAGCTTCCTAAGGGGTCTTTATAAGAGGCAGCCACCCCTATTTTTCATCCCCGGGCAGGGCTGTTGTTTGGTCAGAATCCAAATCCTGCTGACTTTATCCAGAGGGCTGCAGCACACTCAGCGAACAGTCACATGCAAATCACTTCTCAGGCTGGCATGAAAACAGATTGCTTGTTTCATCCTCCATCCTCCTCTCACAGTGCTGGCCAGCCATCACCGGAGCTCCAGTGAGGCATTTCAATGAAAAGCCTGAGAGCAACGGCAGCTCCTTGAGGAAGGAGTTACGAACTTGCCAGGTATCTCCTACACCACTCCCTTAGGACTTGCAGCATCTCTTCTCCACTGGCACAAGCCCATAGCAATGCACCTGGCAGGGTTCACCCATGGCAGGTAGGACCGAGTTGTCAATGTACGTTCACTCATCGTAGTATGCTGTGGGGTTTATGCCATCCCAGCCCGGGACAGGAGAGGAAAATTCTCCTCCCACACACTTTATCTGCACAGGACTACAGGTCAATGATTCATTTTCTGAATGGAGTATTTATTTTGAACTATGAAAAATTTGAAATTTTCATGTAAAGATATACTTTTTTCCTAATCTTTTAGACCAGATAAGGGAGAAACACAACGCTGGAAAGGTTTCTTAACAACAAAACACTGGCAGGTTTTAGTTAAAAAGCAAAACAAATTTCTGCTAATTTGTTCATTCCCATTTCTCCTACCCTCCACCATTTTAGTACAGATCCCTTAGCTTCACCCTACCATCCCCCCAGCCAGTTTAACTCAGCTGCTTGCATGAAATTAATGGAAATGAATCAGGAAAAATACTTAAGGGTAGTATCAACCCCAATTCTCTATCCACTAACAAAGATCTCTGTGCAATTAAAAGCCGTTTCCAGTCCCGAGTTCTGTATATGTGAGTGCATTCATTTCTAGAGATTTTCCACTATGAGCATTTCACAGACTTTTCGGGCAGGACAGAGCCAGAGCTGGAGGGGGGCTGAGCAGAAATTGCTCTGTGTCTGCAGAGCTTGTCTTAGCTCGTTTTGAGAGCCCACCGTTATAAGCAGTCCCATGGAGGCAAACGACAGGGGGAAGTTTGCACAGAGAAGGCATGTTGGCAAGATCCGTCCCTGCAGCTGACCCAGCTAACAACCGGCTGAGTTTAAACACAGTTGCTGTAGCACAGTTGTTTTAAAATATTGTCGTAGTATCGTTCTCCTGGCTGGAGGAGAATTTGTTTTTTCCTCAAGAATCCTGTGATTAAGGCACATCATAGAAAAAGCTGTCACGTTTAATTCCTTCACTCCAGCTGTAGAAAACAGTTCTCGCAGCAAAGTCTCTGTTAGAAGCAGTAATGGGAACCTTAAGAAATCTGCCAAGAAAACCCACCCGCATGGCTGTACCAAACCTGTCACAGCTTAGCTTTAGATTGATTGTATTCAAATAATTTATTTCTAAATATAGTTGGAAAGCAATGGAGAACAAGGCTTGAAATCAGCCCTCCAAGCATGTAAGAAAATTGAATTAATGACAGAAAGAAGGGCGATAGCAATCAGGAGAGTTAGATTAATACTTCCCTTCTACATTTCTTGCTTTCCCAATATAAAGTAGTTTTTAAATCACAACACATTATGTTGGTAAAAAAGGTTCACTTAATTTTAATGTTTCCACTGAAAAACAGATATGATGAGAATGTTTTAGTTAGAGGTAAATGAGTGGTGGTGGGGAATCCAGGAAACAGACATACAGTTGCTCTCTTTTTTGTGTCAGAACATTTTGAGAAAAAAACCCTTATTTTAGTATTTTAAAAAATGAAATATTTTTCTTAATTTCCATTTTTCAAGAAACTTTGCCTTCTCTTTTCCAGTTGTCTCTCATTATTATCAGTGTCTACTTCTGTAACTAAACCTCACTCAAAGCAACAAATGTGGTTCTATATACAGTGTGCATGTAGGGCTCAATATTTTGTGTGAAGGTAGCTGAGAAACTCTTAACATCCACAGACTCGCTGTAGCAAGAATTCATCACACAGAACTGGATGAGTAGGATAAGAAACAATGGATCAAATATACGTTTTTTCTCCCAGAAGTGACAAAGAATAATTTTTACTCAAAAAAAGCGCTCATATTTACCTAAAAAAAGAAGTCATCAGAAAAAAAACACTAGTACTCAAAAATGTCTATTTACAATCTGTGAACCAGATACCCATTTACTCTACTTCCATTGAATTAATTGCTTGTACTCATTGACAACCTGACCAGAAATTTGTATTACTCAAGTTCTACTTTAACAAAATTAAATATGTACTTCTTTTCAAGTGAAGAGTTGCAAAGTAACGATGATAGCCCTGGTGCTATGCTGTGAAAGTTGAAGTTTCCTACACTTTGGCATCTCATGAAATTATGAAGCACTTGCATACACAAACCTCAAGATTCACACCTGAGCAATACAACTTGTCCTCCCAGGAAGAGAAGAGCATGCTGCAGAGAACAGGCAAGCTACATTACTTACAATTCAGGAAAGACCAGAACACATGCACACCTCTGCTCCAGAGAGGTTGTTTTCATCTGGTATCAGATAAAACCCAAAGGATGGATAAAAGAAGAAGGGAGGGTCAAGACTAATCCTTGTCCCAATAAATCAACACAAACTGCTTTTGTGTTCACCCAAGGTTTTCGAACAGTGACATCCTCCAGTAAGACCAGCTGTGAACAATAACAAGACCTGGACACAAAAATATTGCAAAAGACAACATTTTTTTTTAAAGGAAAAAATAAGAAAGCTCTAAAATACTTAATTAAAAAAAAAAAGAAAGAAAAAAGAAAAAAGCACCTTTAGAAACAGAGCAGAATGGCTCGAAGCAAAGCAAGCTTGGTGGTGGATAAAGCACAGTGCCATCGACCTTGGCAGTCTGTTGAAAACCAAGGCTCACATCTAGACACAGGTCTCTGGTGAAATGAACTGGGTAACCTCGGCTCAGTTTAGGGGTTTATGGTATATGTGCGTGATAGTAACAGCATGATAGGCCCTTCTTATGGGAAGCTCTGAAATGAGCGAGGGGAAAAGAGGGTCCCAACATAGAAATCCTTCCAGATTAGAGATTGCCAGGCAATCCAATGTGAATGCAGAGATTTGCAAGCAGAGGGCAGTGTTTCATGCTAATAGTGCTAAGCAAGGGCTCATTCTTGAAGTGAATGCCTGGAAGAGTATTACAATGTCACTGTTGGCGTTGACAATCCTCGGGGAATGTCAGCTGCAGTTTGAGTCCCTGGAGAGTTCTGCTGCTATGGCTTCCCTTAAACAAGACCTTCATTTAGCAGCATTTTGAAGGCACTTGAACGCCAGATGTTGCCCCAAGCATTGTTCCTAGAGAAGCTGGTCCATAGCTAGAAGTCAGAGCTCCTTTTACATGTGATGGAGGAGTCATCTCAGTGGAGGTAGGTAGGTTGATTCCAGCGGTACCAAGATCTGTTTTCAACAGAGGGAAGAAGAGCTACATTTGTCATGTTGTTAACGGTTTCCCTTGAAATAAAAATAATTATTATTCCATTTGTAACCTTACTTCAACTTGGCAGCCAGTAAATGATCCTTTGCTCCTGTAGGAAGCTCATAGCAAAACCCCTGTCTTTCTAAGCAATATCTTCCATTGTGCTCATGATTTCACATACTACCTGGCTGTTGGACTTCCTCCACGTGAGAGGAGGTCTGATTCACGCCACAGGATGATCCGTGACTCAGAAAGCCCAGCAGCTATGGGTAACGCCCTCTGTTCTCTGTTGCCTTCCTACTAACACAGCATCCTTGAAGCTATGAGCAACAAGTAGCAGAAACTGTAAGTGCAGAGAAGCCTGAGCAATATGGACTGTGGCAGACATGTTCAGCGAAGTAACCAGAAGGACTCTGAGCCCGTAAGCCGTTTATAGCACCTAAGGGCAGCGAAAGCAAAATCTTTGTGCCTGTTTCATCTGCCACTGTGGAATAGTTACTCTGCAGCAGAGCTCTCTGGGTGGCACTGCAGGAGAGAAAACTGGCTGCAGAGGGGGTTATCCAAGCAGAAACAGCAAAATAAGCCTTCCTCTACTTCCACCACACAAGGAGTGAGTTTAGGACAGTCCTTGTGGCCAGTATTTCTATTCAGGTTTTTGGTGTGTGTTTTTTATTTTCTTTTTTTAACCAGCAGTTTTTCATGCAAAACTTGATTTACTATTTGTCTTCAAGCAGAAAAACAGCCATATCCCAAGAAGCTTTAGGTTGAATATGAAGCTTCATGTAAGAACATGCCACTGTGCAACTCCACATTGCTGGAGCCTCTCAACGCTTGCGTTCTTCTCTGAGGTCCCACTGCTTTTCTCCCAAGCCCTCTGATGCCCTTGCCAAGGAGCAAGCTGTGGGCCCCCACTGCCTTACCCTGAAGAGTTGAAACCCGATGGGTTCATTGCAGCTTTGGAGTTGCTCTGAGCTGTGCCGGGGCTGCTGGCATGGAGTGCACTGCCAGGGGATGAGGGCCTGCTGGAGTTTCCTGGGGAACATGATGATGTTACTGTGTAGCAAAGAAAGCAGAATAAGACCGGGAACTCCTTTTCCTGCCAAGGACAGTCCAAGCCCAGACACTTCCACCATCTTGGACACACTCTGTTGTTCGTCTGACTGTCTGCCCTGCAGCAGCAAGGCAGAATCTGTGCCTCAGCCACAGAGAAGTTGGGAGTCCCCAGGGCTGCTCTCTCTGTAGCGCTTCATGTGAATAGTGCTCCTTATTCTTCTTCTTTGGCTTCTAGGTGTGCCTGGCTCCCAAACCTAAACGTCTCAGTAAAATTTACCTAGTATTATCCTGGGAATGTTACCATGCCCAGGAAGCTTTCCATGTCTTTGTTCCAGCCAAGAGAGAGACTCTGTTGTTCTTATCTCTTGTACGCTAGTTGTGTGGGGATACTTTCCCTGGCCAGACCCAAGGGTCTTAATAAGAGTGGCCTGCAAATGCGACCCAGAAACCAAGTAGGAAGAGAGCAAAAACAGAGGAAGGAGGGAAGGAATGGTGAGCGAGACAGTTTTCTCAAGGCTTACCAGTCCCAGGCATGGTGCTATGCACCGGATTGACGGAGAGGGGCCCCAAGGACCCTGAGGTAGAGACCTAGAGCGAAACAGAAGCAAACAGTAAGCACTTGGCGCTATGAGGGTATAGATCACAAAATGCCACTCCTTTCACATTCCCTTTAGAGTGTGCTGGCTCCCAGGTGGACTTATTATGTACATCGAGGCTCCCTCAGATATTTCTATTCATACTCTAATGTATAAGCACCATTCTCATATGCAGGATCATGCAAAGAAATCAGAATGACTATTACATATGCCTGGCATTCTCTACATAGGTCTAAATTTAGGGATCAGCTATGGAAAAGCCTGAACTTATGAAAGGCAAGGCAAACTTTCTGGAAGTCCTGAAATCCTGCTTGTAGGAGCCACTGCCCTCTGGGTGTTTCAGGCTGGATGTTCCTAGTCAGAAACCTCCCAGCTCACTCTGGTCTTGTGCACAAATAATCCCTTTTCCTTTATGGAGTTCTTGATGAGTGAGAATTGTCAGGTGACAATTGGTAATTTGGTGGCCGCAATCAAAGTGAGCCTGGGGCATTTGTTGCTCAACTGTGATACTTTACAGGCAACACATTGTTCAGAATGACTGATGAGCAAAGGCATACTTTGTACAACATGATCACAGGAAAACTATTCACCAAAGCTACTGCTTTAAAAATTCATGGCTTGCAAGCAACATTTTGTGTTTGTGACTCTAGACCAAATGCGTTGTGCAACAAGCAACCAAACCTCTTGTGATGTTTCCCTGCCTTCTGATGGGTAATTCCAAAACCCAGAAGATTTCATGGTAAAATATTGCTTGCGAATATGTACTCTCCCTCCTGCTCACATGTGCTGCAGCACTAACAACACCATAGAGAGGTTCCTGACACTTTTATATGTGGAAGCATCTAAGCAACTATTAAGTAGCGGAAATGCAATAGTTGCTTGTCATCCACAGTAGACACTGACAGTAGATTACAAGGACATGCTTTCACCAACTCTCACAACAGTTTCTCTTTTCCTCATCCTTCCTGGTAATGAAAATATGCTTGCCAAAATGTGAATGCAGAGCGGACAGCTAGCACTACTGAAGTGTATTCTGCCTTTCTGCAGAATTTTTTTTCATAGATGTAAACCAAGAAACTAATATGTAAATGGTTACCATTACATTTCAGAGTTAAAAACCAAGCTGACATGAGCGGATGTACTTCTTATTCAATGGAATGCTCATTCCTTCTTCATTAACTTTGGAAAGCTTTTATTTACCACTCTTAGGGTGAAAAATTTTGGGATTGCACCCCTATTTGGATAAATTGTCTTACAATTCAACTGACCTGTACCTTTTAGGAAACTTGTAGGTTTTTTCTACTGTTTTTATTAATAGAATAAAAATAAATGTTCTGTAAGTGCGGGCATGAGATTCCATTCCAGTTGGGATGTTGTGTAGATGCTCAATCTGTGACTAGCCCAGCTGCCTCTCTGCATGCTCCTGCAGGTGCAGTCCCCCGCGGGCCTGTGGAGTGGGCTTTCCAGCATCTCATAGATGTGTGTGTACAAGCAATTGTCCTGTACTGTTTCCTTTTCCAGCAAACCCTGCTGTATCCTCCCACCCTTTTCCCTTCTTGCCTGAGATGGTATGTAGCACTCCTTAATCCAAAGTCTCTCACCAGTCTGGAATTGTAGATAGGTGATTTGATGGGGGATGGCATCGGGCAGCTGATCCGTTTTTCTTTCTGGCGCCGGTTGCAGAACCAGACCCGAACTACCTCCTTTTCCATGGAGAGCTGCTCTGCTATCAAGGATATCTCCTCTGAACTGGGCTTGGGGTTCTGCTAAGAAAGGGCAGGAGGTTAAGAAAAGCCCCCAAGAGCTGTAACTTACAGCATCAGTGTATGCTTCTGCTGCTTGAAAGGCAGAGGACAAAGGCGGGGTTGGCTGTAAACTGTGGAGGGAAGAAAATTTGCTACTAAGACAAAGGGTAAATATTTGGGTGAGAGACTATGTTCTGTGAACCAGAAAGTGCTTCTGATTCAACATCAAGTCTCATGGACTCAGTGGGAGATGAGTCACAGTACCTGGTCCTATCATTGCATAAAGCACCACACTCTTCAATCTTAACAGCACCCTAAGTCATCCCTTGAGGGGGAGCTAATGACTGGTGGTCTTCTTATTACTACACAGGACACATGAGCTCCGAGTGCTGTTTGTACGCCTACCTGCACCATCTCAGAAAAACCATTTCTTCTCTTTCTTCATCCATCCATCACTTATAAAGGGAAATAATAGTACCTATCCTTTCTTCTAAGTCACTTATTTTCTGGTGCATTTGACAACATTTAGCTCTATGGGTTTTGATCCGAGTTGGAGACTTGAGGATCAAAAATACCTAGCACAAAGGTGCCATACAGCTTTACTATTACAAAGAATGCCTCATACTAGCGAAAAATGAGGTGCCAATAATGACCTGACAATGATTGTCTTTTGTTCTCATTAACAGCGTTAGGAGGAAATTTTTATACGACCAGACATGAGGGAGAAACCAAGAAAAAATGAGGGCTGGTCAAAAACAGTTTTGATGAAAAATTCTCAAGGGACAAGTTAGCTCTACTGATTTAAAACTCTGTTTGCTCTCTGTAGTGATTTTTCTTGAAAATCTTGATGCTTAGAAAGTAAAAGGCTCCACTTCTGAAATGATTCAGCAGCAATATTTGGAGCAACTAGTTCTGTGGTCTCACAAGACCTGCTTAATGGGGCATCCATTTCCATGATGCACATGGCCACACAGTTCCCGTGACCCACACCTGCAACTCACAATGAGAAGAGGCGGGTGCAGGAGATCATCTCTGGCTAGGGCACTGATCAGTGGAAGGTAACAGGGAGGTGTGGTGATGAAGTTGTAATTCCTCTAAAACAACATTTACCAAGGAAATAATTGGGTCTGATATCTTTGATTTTGACAACTTTCCTGTTAAGACCTTCAAGCATTTTCTAACTTGCTATGAAAACAAACAGAAAAGAGATCTCTTTTTTTTGAGGATTCAGTGCTACTATGTCCTAGCATATGCCAAACTCAGAGAGAGTTCGTAACACGTTGAAAGATTTTTCCCCTCACATCTTGAAATCTTTTCTCCAGTGTGGAGCGAATGTTGGTCTCAATGCTGGTTCGCTTCTTTCTTTTCCGTCCAAACATCTCATTCACTGAGGGGTAGGAATTGGGAGTGCTCATCGACGAATCCAAAGGAGCAGATTCTGGGGAAAGAAGGAGGGGAAAATAGATATTCAAGAAGATAATGAGTTATTTTCATTCCTAGATCCTTTCTGGGAACTATGGCACCTCCTAAAATAAGTAAAATGTTCCTACATTGTGCATCCTTCCTCTGATGATGATTAAAATTGTTGCAACAGTCCCCAATCCATCGATAAATTTGTCCAGATCAAAAAAGAAATACAAGTGCTAAAATTTTAATTAACACACTATTTTTCCTTTTTCCAGCTTGATTTCCAGCCTGCTCTGATAGGAACCACGCATTTTTCCAATTATTAATTTCACACGGTTAAAGATGTTGACTTAGACCACTGGGATCAGGCCTCACGCAGCTGACACACCTCCTGACATGATAAATTGGTCAAACGTGCAAGTCCTGAAGGGCTGGGTGAAGCACATGAGACTAACACTATTCCTACAGTGGTTTGCAGCCAGCAGAGGACACCAGCCCAGTCCTGCTGCTACTGGGAATTCCCCTTGCAGTGACGTCTTCCTTTTCTAGTTACTGCTCATGATCTGATCTCTGAGCACTGTAGGAGTCCCTTCCTACTCTTTCCAGTTTACACAGGGAGGGACTGAATGGACTAGCCCAGAGATTTGCCCCAGGCCGTGCGACAAAACAAGAGGCATTGCAAAAAGCTACTGCCCGAGACACCAATTGCAACGTGAATCCCATATTGCCACAGAGAAAGGACAGATGTGGTTTGACATCTAGGCTGCTATGCAACCTGCTGTGTGATCCACAGAGGAAAGAAGTCTGTTACCAGCCCAGACAGATCTGGGAGGTCTTAGCTCCAGCTCCGATTTTCCTGGCTTTTATTGCAGGTTCCTGGATAAATCCTTTCATGTGCTGGCCAAGGGTGTTTCTGGACGTAATGTCACCTACCTGCATCACTCAGCCACTTCTCCAGCAGGGGTTTGAGCTTGCACATATTCTTAAAGCTCAGGTTGAGAGCCTCAAAGCGGGAAATAGTGGTCTGGCTGAAGTCATTGCCATAGAGCTTCCCCATGGCAAGTCCAACGTCACCCTGCCAGAGAAGATCCAAACCACAACATGAGCTCAAAAAAAGCCCTCACAGCTTCCTGCTGTCAGACCACCTCCCATGCTGCTTCCAGAATAGGTGCAGCCTAGTTTCCATGACCTACCTTCCAGAGACAGTGACTTCTCTTCCCACTGGAGTCTGTCCCACACCCCTAACCCTTTGTGTATTGGAAAAGGTGCAGATAATGAAGTCATGCTATTAAGATATTAGGAAGGGTTTGTCTTTTCATGCATTTGGAAGCAGATGCTCCAAAGAGAGCCAAAGTTTATATAATCCAGACCTTGCTCCACCCAAACCTCTGCCAACATGTCCACATCCCAAGAGACCACACCCTTCCCACTGACAAGGCTGCTCACCTGTGTGAACCCCAATTTGATTCGCCTCTGTTTGAAAGTCTTAGCAAACTTTTCCAGCTCCTCCAGGTCACTGGGTTCCTCAGATGCTCCTGATGGAGTTAAGTGCTTTGCCACTTGCAAATGCTGGGGGACGTCCAGGTGGGGTTCAACCGATGAGCCAGAGAGTCCAGAACGGCCCACAGCCTGATAAAACAACAGAAAAGATCCATAGAGTCACAACAATAGAAAAGCACACAATTTTCTCTGCCGTTTGCCCTAATGAAGCAGCACTTTTGGTAGATGGCTGCTTCTCAGGGTGGGACTGTACGTTGGACTGTACGTTGAGGCAAGTTACCTGTGATGCCAGGCTGGGTCCTGGTTGGGAGAGGAGAAGGCTGCCCTGTTGCTGAGGGAAGGAGAGGATGTTTGGCTGCAAAGCTGAGGAGAGAAATAGAGATGCATCTGATCAGACCTGCTCCTTCATCAGCACCTAGGCAGCTGAGCATCACTCTGCACAGGAAAGACTCACGAAGCTCTGAACGGAAAACATCAGCTAGCTCTCATTCAAAATATGAGAATTTCAGTCATTATGAATGTGGCTGGCTCCGAGTTGGATTATGAGAAAGGAAAGGTTCTTTCCGTTGCTTCTTAGCCTGAAAAGGATTATTACAATAATAGTATAGGTAAAATATCTCATCCACTGATCCCTGCATGTAGCTCATGAACCCAAGGCTGAGCTAGGGCGTAGACATTTTACATAGACATCTAATTTTTGTTTTAGATGCCAAGTGGCAGAGAATTTACTACATCTTTAGTGGTGATCTCTCGCAGTACTTAATCATTGTAACTGTTAAAAAAACCTGCATCTTGTTTCCAGTAGAAGCTTTTCTGACTCCAGCTTTCAGCCACTTGATCTTGTTAAAAAAAATCCTGATCCTGTAATTAATCTCATGAGCCCAGCCACTCTGCTTTCTATTAAACATTTCATTTTGAAGTGTCATTCTGAAGCCATCTGACCCTTTCTTTTCTGCCCTCCTGTATTTCAAATAAATTGAATTTCTTCTGGAATATATAAACTGACACAAAAAGATGAAAGTAAAAATGAAGGGAAATCTATAAAACTAACAAAAACTGGTATTTATGGAGACTGCGTAATTGTTTAGTTGACAAACTGCCAAGTATAACCCTGTATCTCTTATAGGCAATGTCCTAAAGGATTAAGTAGTGATTGAAGCAGTGCCATTCCCTAGAAATTAAGTTGGGTTCTTCAAGTCCGTTGTGGGTGAAGTCTATAGAATTTAGTGAGGATTTATAACCTTTCTTGAAACAGTCAATATATTCTATTGATCGTAACCGACAATTATAAGGAAAACTATAGAACCGTACGGACTTTCTGTCTTTCCTTTTTAATTTAGATCGGGATGTGCAGAATCCCATCTATTTATTTAGATTGGTGTGTCAATACGCCTCTCTGATGCTAGAACAACTTTGAATTTCAAATGCAGACTGGTAATGAGGTGCACATTTTTAACAGTGAAGGTAATTAATCACTGGAATGGCTTGCCTAGGGACATGGTGCATGCTCTGTCATTTGGATTCTTTAAAATCATGATTGAACACCTTTGCAAAAGCTAAGCTCTAGCTCAAATGAAAATCATGGACTGGATTCAGGAATCACCAGTTTGACAGCAGATGAGACCGAGGCTGTGTTTTTTCAGGATGAAGACTTCAGCAGCAGTATTTTGGCTGACCATATTCCCAGTATCTACTTGGCTGCTTGCTTCCACCTTTACAGCATAGAGCTCTCATCCCCCTTATTCAAGCATGCCAGCATTAGCTGTTTGAAGGGCTGCACAATGAATTAGCTCAGGGCATAATGAATCAGATTCGGGAATTTATCTGGCTTAAAAACAGCTTTAAAACATTAAGCCAAAATGTGTGTCCTCTTGGAAAGGTTAAGCCCACAGTCAGGTCCCTTTGGCCATGAAATCCATGAACTGATGTACCCATCAGTCAGAACTCAGGGCACGTTGAAGGTATTCCCACAGAGGCCTGGGGGACATCTTCAGGAATATTTCATACATCTCTTCACCATAAAGAATGTTCCACCTGTATCTGTACCAAACAAGTAATTCCACAAAACTAATCTGTTCACTTTCACTCCCCAGTGGCTGTGCATGCACATGGCAAAGGGTCATTAAAACCTGGGAATCGACTATTCAAATGGAAGTGCTCTTGCACAAAAAGCTGTCTACTGGCTAGAATATCAGTCTTCATCAAGTCTGGAACCAAAAGGGGTCATGGCCAAACAAGAGGCCATCTATTGGAGGGGTTATAGCTGCCAAAGGAAGTCACTTAACAGAAGAAACTCTAAGAAAGGAAGTAAGTTTTGTTTTCCAGTAGAATGTGTTTCCTATTGTATATGAGTAAAAGCAGATGGTAAGCAATAGATTATAGCGACCTTGCCATTTCAAACAAACTAAATTCTAGGTTACTGTTAAATATGCATCAAGTAGTTTCTTTATACATCACTCAGCATCATTTGGCAGAGAAAAAAGCTTATATACTGTTAATGGGAAGTCAGTTTCCCACTTGCCTACAATATAATTCTTTCTTTTGGAGCATGTGTACCATTGCATTCAAGCTGCAGAGATTTTTAGGTTTTAATTCTGAATTTTCATTCATATGGAGGGATCTCTGTGCTGGAATAAATCAAGAATGTGAGCAAAGGACCCAAGTCCCTTTGTATCTGTCAGCTTATGGATCAAAGCCTATGTTTGTCAATCCACAGGCAGCATAAAACTTCATCAATGGCATGCCTACATCCCCGTTACTGGAGAAATGCCATAAAAAGTATCGGCGGTAAAAACGGAAACACAGGGACTTTCTCAAGCACTGGGTTCAATCCTCAGTCCTTCCATCCCTTTCATGAAGCTGATCACACGCTGTAGTTAGGCCTCCTGTTCTCTCTTACCCCATGGCTTGGAGCAAGATTTGGGAACAATTCCTGGCAGCTCCAGAGCTCTCAGCTCTCATCCCCGGGTTGCTCCTGGCTAGGTTAGACCTGCTTGTTGTGGTGCCAGCATTGCCCTTCCACCAGAGCAGCTCAGCTCCTTCCCGGGCTGTGCCGTCCTGCTGAGGCGCTTGGGGAGACCAGCTCAGCCTCTCGCCAGCGTTCTGGCAGGAAGGCAGTGCACTGCCCCAGAGCGACTGGCCACCCGGGTGGAGGAGCAGGAGCAGGCTCAGTCACGGGCAGCCCTGCAGAGCCTGTCCTGGGGTGCGAGGGGGGATCCCCACCCACTCTGCAGGGCCTAGCCCCAGGCGGCACCCTGGGCACGCAGCAGCCTCTCGGGGGCCCGGAGCCTTCCAGGGCACCCGCTGGCACTGTCCTGGCTGGGGGAACCGGCACGGCAAGAAGAGCAGGGCAAAATGCAGCTGGTAACACAGCAGGGATACGGACGCCATCCCTCTGGGAAAACACAACAGGCCATGTTAACAGCAGCAGTCACAAGAAGGGAGGCTTTGCCTGGATACGTGCCTGCTTGTAACAGTGCCCCTGTCAGCTTTCATTGCTCTTACCTTGTTGGCCGGCCTGAGACTGAGACAGAAGAAACTGGGGAACTGACTGCATGTGCCCAGGAAGCAATACAAGCTGCTGCAGGGTGTGAAGAGAGCTCATATCCTGGGGGAAAAAGAAAAGAGAACAACAAAACTCAGAGACGTCTGCTCTTCGCACAGCATCACCTCTCCTATAAAGATTCGCTGCTCGTTTAGACTGCCCTTGACCCCATTCATACTTTTTGTTTAACTGCCACTGCATCAAATTTGTGTAATTCATGCACTGGAGAGCTACGGATCCTGAGGTACTCCAGGATACGAAGTTTTCAGCTATATGTGAACAACTCTGTGTGCATACAGACATCCACAGGGAGAATTGTCTACTTTTGTCTTAAAAAGTCAGTTCTTGAAAAATGACATTTTTGAGGCACCGCTAATCAAAACCCAGTTGTTAGAAGTAACAGTGAAACCTCTTGGATTTCAGTTTCTTACAGATAATGTATTTTCAGAGAGTGAACTCCCTAAAATTACACATGAAAGTGCAGCTGACTGTCCCACCTCATGAACACTGAGAGCCTGCTTTCCACAGCAAGCTGCTTTCCCAGCCAGCTGTGTGCCGAGACGAGAAAGAAGCAATGCCCAGCAGCACCCGATTCTCTACACCGACAGCAGATGCATTGCAATGGACACAGCCACCAGATCCGAAAACATTTCCTGTTCTTTGCCTGGAATTCCCCACCCTCCATCGAGCAGGGCAGGCAATAGGTACTGAGAGGCGAGGATTACACCCTTGTGCTCTTTCACATGACTGGGGTCCCAGCTCCAGGGCCTTTGTTGGGATTAGGGGATAAGAGCTTGCTTTTGCTTGGGATAGCCACAAAAAAATAAATGCCCCAATAAGACCAACTCTGAGATACATTTTTAAAGGAATTCATTACTCAATAAGATGGTCTCTCTGAGTTTCTTCAGAACCGTTTTGAAGCTTTGGGGAAATTCAACAGTCTCTAAATGGTGTAAGGGATCTGAATATCCCATGAAAGAATGAGGGAAGAGATCACTGAGCAGCTGTGTGGCCTTCTGGCATCTCACTCACACTAGCATTTAACAAGAGCGAAGTGCTAAACTCCGATATTTTACCTTAGGAATAAAAAATTCCCACAAGGAATTGATTTCTTCTCTGGTGCAAATCGATTTGAGGCAACATATTCACTGATGTCTATACCAGCTAAGATCATCAGTTAATCTAACCTAGAATCATATTGCCGACAATGGCATTAAGCAGATGTTCATGAAAGAGGAAGACAACGGCAAGCATATCTAACACTTCCCCTTGGTGTTGTCTCAGCCTGCAATTATTTTCAGTTCAAGGGATTTCCTGAGCATGGTGTGGTTTGCCTACTTAGGAAACCCTCAAAGGAAATCTCTGCCAAGTACGTGTCCAGTCTGCCTTTGAACCCATGTAAAACTTTCTGCAGAAAAGAAAGAGGCTGAGGAGGAAGCTGACTTTTGCCAACACAATTTAGTGTCCATCATACCCTCAAGTCTCTTTTTGCCACTGTCCAAAGGCATACGTAATTTGGCAAGTATCTCAAAACCAGCCTCTTCTCCAGAGGTTCACTCACCAGAGCCATTTCAGACTTCTGAATCCCTGAAGCAGCAAAGTCACTTACCCCTGCAATTTGGCTTCCAGGCATCATTGATGACCCCTGCACGAGGTGACCTGACCTAGGGGGGATTGTAGATTGCAAGGAGTCACTGAGGTCTTCAGTTTTAATCTGGAAAAGAGCAAAGTAATTGCAACATCAGGGAGCAGGGATGAGGGGATGCAGGAGGTGTGGGGTGGCTAGGAGTCTGAGAGGCTGGAAGGGATTGGGAAGGGGCTCCTTTCTGCGACAAGTTAGAGGTCAGGACTCACTGCTTCTATCCCTGGGTTTGCAGAAAGGCATACTCATTTCCCGCTTCTGCTCTCCAGTTTATAACATAGACATAGTCTTCCTGCTCTACCAAGCCAAGGGGAGGCTTGCAGTTTGCTCAGTTACAACAAATTAATTAAAACACTTCAGCAAGTAATCAAGTTCCAGTGACTTAGCAGGGTTTAAAGCATGTGAGTGCTTTCCTCAGATAAAACACTGAGGCATTTTCTGGAGTTATAAGGAAGACACAAAGCATTTCTCCTCAGTAGATCACGACTCACAACCTGATGGCAGGGTTGGCTACAGACAACCTCTCATTTTGTTCTCCAGGTGGCAGAGAACAGTACAAGGGGATGGGAAAGGAAATGTCATGAAGTAAAAGACCACAAAAAGCAGTATAATCTTCCAGACTTGAAAATGCAATACCCCAGACACCAAACTTATTTGCTCAGCTTCTACCAGAAAGCAACAAGAAATTCTACTGGTCTGACAAGGGAAAATCTGCTTCCTTAGCTAGAACAAGCTGTGGAAAAAGAACTGGACTACTTCAACGGTGTCAGCCCTTTGTCCAGTGGTAATTCTGACCTACTTTGATGTTCAAGCAAGACTCCTGTACACAAAAAAATCATGGTTTCTGAGTCCACATTCTTAAGACAAAAATTTACCCAGGGACCAGAACTGAATCCTCATGCCTGGTTTATTCCACAGTCTCCATGTTCATCGCTAACATTGCTACTACATTAAAAAAAAGCAAACAAAAAACTGCTATATCACTTTGTACTAGCTGAAATCTATTGGTAAGTCTGACTGGGACAGGAGAGAGGGGAACTTAGTTACAAAGAATTTAGAAAGGTCTAGGTTAGTTGCCGAAAGCTGTGTGAGGAGTGTCTACGCATAGATGCCATGCATAGGAGATGGAAAAGTCATACAGACCTCTTATAGTACATTTTCTCTAAGAAAAGATCCAGGCAAACAGTTTCCAAACTTAGGCTCAAGTTTTTGCTAAGCCTGAGAATGCCTGGCACAAGGCTCACATCATCGGTCCCATTCCTCAGCTAAGCCTTTCCAGTGCACAAAGAGGCTCCTGTTTCCACAAACTGGAAAAACCAGGAGGACACCAGAAAGGACAGGTCTCGAAAACTCTGTCCAGGGGCTCAGCATTGCAGATTCACATTTACTACTAGGGCTGAACCTCACCATCTTCCATCAAATTACAACCGAGCCAAACATACCCCAGAAGACAAGCAGGTCACCTTTGCCAGGGCTTTGCAGTGCTGGACTTTAGGTCATACAACCTCCTACCAGCAGAGGGGGACAAGAAATTCAGCTTCTAAAAAGAATGGCCCAAGCAAGTATTATTGGTTGAGGGAGGTTTTATTTCAATTTCACTAAAGCAAATAAATACACAGAAGCAGGAGCAAAGGAGAAAACATGATCACAAGAGGCTCGCAGCTGCAGTGCAGGGAGCTGGCCCTGTGACGTTAGCCTCTGCATTTTGGAAGGTACTATGCAGAGGGAAGAGAATTACAACATCTGCTTTCATTACAACTATAGCTCCGGACACCGCTGAAACTAGTTTTGCAATAATACTAGCTCCTTGCAACAAGAGTTATACATGCTATGAATTCCAGTTCTTTCCTACCTTTCAGGTTGGCATGATCATCCCTCTTAGCCTGGTGAAAAAAATCAGATGGAAAGATCTTCTTGATCACTATCAATGTGGATAGTGTCTAAGTTACTATATGTTAGACAAAAGGCTCAGGAGAACACACCGTTACCCCTGAGCCATCCAGTCACAGCAGGCAAATAGTTTTATGCACGTTTTTCTTTCTGAGGGTGCATTAAAAAGAAGTTATCCGAGCCACAAAATAAAAATAAATAACAAAAAAAAGATTACCCCTGCTTGCGATTCATGTGTGTCTGCCTCACACAAAGGAGTCATCCAAGCCTGAAGAGTCCCAAAAAGAAAAGTTATCCACGTCTTAGAGAACAAGGCACTTGATCCCGCCTAAGTTATGATCCCAATAGGAGTGAAGTGTTGAAGAAGCACAAGCCATTTCCAAACTGAAATCAATTTTTACAGCTGCCAAGCGGAATGTTTTGGAAGCGTTCCAGGGCAAAAGGGGTGTGTAGCTGCATCCCGGCATCGCACAATATGAGAATGGGAGGTGGGTTTGGCAAAGGACTGGTTCCCGATTTAAAAACAACAACATCTCCCACTGCTCCTTCCCCCGTCCCTGGAATTCTCTGGCTCCCTCCTGCACAGTGGGCGGGAACTTGGATGTTCTTGAAAAATCCTTCTCCCCTGCACCTTTTTTCATTGGGTTTAAGTTCAGATTTACCTGTCCCTCCTCTTCCTCTCCCTGACAGGCCTGCAGCTGGCTAATTGTTAATTAGTGAGAGTTCAGGGTATATCCAGAACTTTTGGGATGGTTTATGCAAATCCTGCACCTTCATTTTTTTTCCCTGGCTAAACTGGCAGTATTACCAACTGTACATTAAAAAAAAACAAAACCAAAAACCTCAAAAAGCCACACACATTGTGGGCGAGGCCACTCAATATCATGAGACTCCCTTAAAATCATGTAAATTTCAAATTAATAAAACAAGGGGAGGAGCTGCCTTCTCCTTTCCCAGTGCATCTGACTCTTATTTGCAGGCATTTTTTACAAATATGAGAAAAGTTTTCTTAAAGGAACAAAAAAAGTTTGAAATTATCACAGAGTCACCTCATGTGGGTATATGAGGAGAACCCTGCTAGAACACCGCAAGCGAGCAACAACGATTTAGTTAAAACCAGGAGCAGATCCCACTGTGGTTCCTCAGGACCGTGGTTTTACACAATGGTCAGGCCAGACGGGGAATGGGAAACAAGAAGTCATTGAGAGCAAACCCAAGTTTCTTCCTCTTGAACTTGGTTTGAGGAAATAACACTGTCTAAGGAAAATTGAACCTGTGGAACAGCAGGACCAGGCAATGCACTGCAAACGCATCCTGCTCACTGACACCTAGGGAGACGCGTGGAGCCTGGGTTGCCGGCTGGGAATCCGCAGGCACCTTCTTCCCCTTGGGCTCGAGGGGATTCTCCGGGATTCTCCGGGCTGGGAGCAGCTTCGAGCTCCTCCCGAGGAGGTAACGGCAGGGGGGGGGCCCGGTACACAGAGCTACCTGGGGCTTCTCCGGGATAGGAAAGGAATCAGGCTTGCAAATCTCAAGTGGATGTTTTCACAGCCTTAAAATAGGGTCAGCTGCCCCCAAGCAATCAGAGTGAAAAACACAGGAAGGGTGACTGGATGGAAGGAGAGTCCTTTCCTTAGCTGGCTAGCAGCTTTGCTGGGCCTGGCCAAGGATGGATTGTTTCTTACCTATCACTGGCTTAAAACAAAAACAAAAAGCAAAACAAACTAAGAAACATATTGAGGGGGATGGAAAATGATCAAAGCACTTCAGCTTGCTTGCGTAACCAATTTGTGGAAGGTGTTTCATAAACATTTCATAAGAAGGAGAATTATGAAGAAAACATCTCCCAACCTGCCTGCAATTACTGCACAAACTCTTCCTTACCAGTAGGAAGAAGGGGAGAAAAAAAAAAAAGTACATCTGTTTTGTAACTGATCTGTGAACTTTTGGCAAACATTCTGCTCAAGAAAACATCCTGCAGATATATTGCAAAGCTGTAAAAAGCCAGCCTTACATGAGGAAGTTGGAAAGATTCACCTTAGCAGCTCTCATTTCACTGCGTGGAAGGCCGTACCCTTCCAACAGACTGACCGACCCATGTTTGTTTCAACAGATTGACAGTCAGACCCCACTGGTTGGGCAAGACTCTGGCTGAAGCCCTCCTCATATAAGCCCTGTTTAGGGTCACCGCTCACTGGTAATCTGAACTGGTCTTCCTCATCTCCGAGACACCAAAGCAGGCAGGCTGAATGCAGCCCCAAGCCACCTTCTTTTAATGAGCACTTCTGATGTAATGTAAGCACCACTCGTTAACCTCTTCACAAAGGTGGGATCCACCGACTGATTCAGCACCCAGAGCATCGGATGCTTTCCCCAAATCTAGATAAGAGATCCCCACACCCTGATGGCGTGAGGCCGTTAAAGCCATGTCAGCCTTCTCCAGTACCAGGCAGGAACCGGAGTCGTTTTTGTAAGATTGAAGACAATAATACGTGTTGTATAGTTTCTATTTAGATGGTAACCTCTTTGAAACAGATACTTATCTGTCTTCGTATCTGGCTTATCTCATAGTCAGCAGCTCACAAATGTTTAAGAGTTTGAGTCACTCATACCCCTTCCTCCCCGTCTTGCAGAGTGGTAAGGCTATCTCACTGGCTAGAATAGGGTCTGGTGCACACAGTTGTAAGGGTCTGCACCAACTGCCCCTCACTGAAAACAAACAGCACTGTTCTTCCAGGGCTGAAGCAGTCCCAAAGCGCTATTCAGTACAATAGTCTGAAGCTGGCCCAAAGCGATTTGCCTGAAGTCAAGGGAGGAAGTTTTACAGTAGAACCAGGTAACAAAACTGGATCCAAGGCTATTGCACTTAACTAAGCCTTCCCACCTTCTAATGGCATAAATGTACTTCTCTGTGAATTACCTGCACACGTGGGCACCATAAAATAAAAAACATACTAATAATAAATTATAGCAATAATAATAATGGGCTTGCAATTACTATTTGCACATGTACTATCCTGCACGTATGGCAAGGCTTAACAGACACCCAGGAAGAAAGCAGAAAACCCTTATGTCAATGCAACAATATTCAGCTTATAACATTTGATATCCTTTCGCACTGAAGGGTGGGATTTTTCAGAAGCTGTCAGCATGACAAAACAGGAGTTAATCCCATGCTGAAT